ACTTGTATGGCCGTCTGGTGATGAACATTAGCTGGTGAGAAAGTGACATTATATAAACAGGATGTTAAACAAGGATTTGAAGATGATGAAAGCTCAATCCAAAGATCCACGAGTTTCCTCAAGCTGTATTGTTGTTTACAAACTGTGTGTGAGAAAGATGAATTAAAACCCCATTAGATCACACATGTGTCACGGTGCACCTACACTGGATTTTGGTTAAATAATTCCATGTAAGTCTGAATACAGTTTATCAAGGGTATGATCTAAGACTGAACTTGACGTCCTTCGAAGAAATTGTTACAATGGTAAATGTGGAGGATGACAATAACATGTAACAATGGTCATGAAACTGAGCAGAGGCGTGTCCCGAATCTTCAGTTGGTGTCTTTTTAAAAATTGGAATAGAAACTATGATCTTGATCGCCGAAAATTCTCTCGCCTATGTGCACAATCCCCGAATCTTGTAATTACTTAGGGACGCCTCTGAAACAACACGACTAACAGTGAAAGAAGTAGTACAAAAGTCGATAATGGACCTAAAACATCGTTTTCATAAAAGTAATTGTGATTAACTCTCAATTATATGATGCAATTAAAACAACTTCTTTAGCTTAATGGATCATATTTTGCCCATGTAAAATGTTAAGTCTGCTAATATCGACTTTTGACCTTTGATTAATGTTTGAAACTTGTTATACTTTTTGATGAATGTTTTCAATGAACTTCGAAATGTTAACTTGCTAAATTTCTTTTCTCATTTCTTTCTTCAGATGAGCCAGAGAAGCAAGAAGACTAAAGTAAAACGTTCCTCACCTCTATTCTTGTATGCGAGTCACATCCTGGGTTACAAGTACCTTTTTAGAATTTATGAAACCTTCTGTACACAGTTCTCTTATTTTACTTTTAAAGGGTTTTCTTGATCGATTTATTATATTTTGTTTTAAACTACACGAGAAAATGTTCTCATATTAAAAAGTTCTACTTTCATTGTATTTATTTTCTAGATTGTATGTATTTGACGACAGAGGGTTGTTACTTGGCTAAGGCCTAGTGAAATGTGTTTGATTGCAATCATGCACAAACCATTTCGTGCAAGATCTCGCTCTCAAAACATTGTCTTTAAAAACATAACATTTTATTTATATCGTGCTCAGAAAGAAATGAAATAATCATTACGTGTCAGTGAGACATAAATAATGGATGTTGAGTTAACATATTTAATCATACATAATGCACGAGAGGTATGTTAGTTTTCAACCGTAAAGGAAAGATACCATAAAAACAGTATTTTCTTACGTTTCAAGACAGTTTTAAGATAACATGGCCAGAACTAAAAATCGTCGCACATAACTGAAGCTATAGTACAAACGATAACAGATGTGCGTGAAAAATGACTCACACATAGGTAGGAATATATCGTCTACAATATTTAACCACTACTTGCAAACCCCCATACGTGGAAGAAATTCGTAATAATAATAAAGATCAGATATCGAAGTTCAAGTCATTAACACCCCACCTGTAAACTACCGTTTACTATCAACATCTAATTAATCAAGATTATAAAAAATAAAATAAAACAGATTGATAAAAGCAGGTCACTGATGTGACAAAAAAATAACTTCCAAAATGTGACGTTCTTGTTATCACAACTACATCGACAGTGTAACAAAATCTAATGGCTGGGTTAAAATTAATACTATTAGACAGATGAAAAACAAAACGTATCTCTGCGAATTAAAAAAAACAACAACAATAACCTAAACTATACTTTAATCGTCATAATGGTAAAGTGCACGTGAAATTGGAAGGATAAACTTAAACCTAATATTCTAATTGGAAGTATGTGCTAATTTTAAAAGAATCTTCACTCTTGGTTCGTGCGAAAATAGGCATGTCGTAATTACAATATTTTGATAGAAGTTATTATAACATCGACGTCTTTATAAAAACTTGTTGTTTTCTTTAGAATTTGTGTAATATTTTATTATATTCTCCGAAATATTTCAAACATTTTAGTAATTTATATCGTTGAAAACCATTCTGCTTAAGTTTCACAATTAAAAGTTCTATCTTGGGGGGGGGGGGAACAAAAAAAAACGTTTATTCTGCAAACATCTCTGTTACTAATGGATTATTCCCCACTCAGTTTACGGACTTGTGACTTTAAAATCTACGGTTCAGTTCTACGTGATAGACTGAGTGCAGGTAATCTATATGTAGTTTTGAAAGAAAACAACCAAAGAAATAGATAATATCACTTTTGCATAAAGATGAAGCAATATGACTACTAATTGCAGAACTGGGTGTTAGTTTTAATGGAACATTACATAATGGACTATCTGCTCACTGCGAGGAATCGAACTCCGGACTTCTTCCTGAAGAAGAATAGTTAACTATTCGAAAGCGCTCTAGTTTTGGGTCTTATCTTAAGTTTATTACACTTTACGTGTGATCCTTTGTGCTAACTCTTAATCAAGATTCATATTTTTCTATGACATTCTAAAATTAAGTGATTAGTTTTAAAATTAAATCCTCAACTAAGTTTCGAGTATCATTTTAAATGTGAGAAAGTCAAGAAACTTTACTTTCAGATTAACTTCATATTGTATTGATTTCTCTCAATCTTACAAGCTAATTTATGGGTTTTTCTTTAAGGGATGGACATTTTTTAAGACTGAACTGCATGTACAATGAGAGCAATGTCTAACATTAGCTTTAGCTGTTTATGCGGATTTTTAAAATAAAAATGATTGAAAAATATGCCAAAAAACAATAACAAAAAATGTCATTGCGAAACATATATGTATTTAATGAATATGCTAAATATAAAATAATACTCATTACGAAAAAATTCATTCCACAATTCACTGATTGGCAATAAATCTGTCGTACTAGTAGAGACAGGTGGTCTGGGTATTAAAAATTAATTAAAAACACTCAACATTTAGACCTTCTTAGATCGAAATCTTGTTATATGTTCTGTGTTTTGAATAAATGTTTTTAACATACTTGTCAGCCGTCTCTACTACAGGGGTTTCTCGACATCTTGAATGATTATAACTTTGATCAATGAAAGTTTGCTCCATAGATCACAACTAAAAATAACTTAATAAATAATATCGATAAGTCTATATACCTGTCTAACAAAGTACATAATGTCCTAAAGCAAACAATATTTAGAAACATCAGAGTGCATGGGTTCATCAGTTAATTATCTTCACTATTACTGATAATTTTGACTGTAATCCCAGTAATTTCTAACACCATTTGTTTGTATGAATTTTGCGGAAAGGTACTCGGGAGCCACCTGTGCTAGCTGTCCCTAATTTTGAAATGATACACTTGAAATCTTTGTGATTGTTGAAAAACACTGGATCAGGTTTTGTACTTAAAGTTATCCAATATTTCATAACCTACCCAAACCGCATTAAGGCCTAGCAAGGTGACTCAACTCGCAATTTGTGGGCCACATATTTGAATCGCGCCACCTAACATGTTGGACCTTTCTGTCGTGGGAGAAGGTGCAAGTGACTGACCCTTCACTATTCCTTGGTAAAGAGCAGTCACAGTTGGTGGTGAATAGTGTTGATTAGCTGCTTTCCCCCCCATTTGAACGTGGTGCGTGAAACAGAAAAGATCCCACATAAGTTCGGTCGTCAAAATAATAGACAAAAAAAAAAAAAAAAATTTGAATGTAGTTTTTAATGATTTAAGAAATAAATTAATTTGGAGAAATGAAAGAAATATTTTAAATATTTTCTTTATTTTGCTTATGTAGCAAAGGAAGTACGTACGTACGTATGTATTGAAAAGAATTGCAAGACAATACAAAATAGCTAGTGTCAATGTAACAAATTCAATGTTAAAATTCAGAAATATTTGCTTGAAGAGATCATAATTTTCATGCCTACGATGCCTCTCGGAGATACGAGTCAATCATGTTACGATTGGTTCCACAATGTTGTGTGTTAAGTCTCTTAACCGTATTCCAAGTACTTTCAACTTGCTGCACATTTCAGAAATATAAATTATAATTTTGAAAATTGATATTTAAAGAGGAAAGAATGGGAAAATATTTTTATTTTTTAAAGAATTTTTAATTAAATTATTTTTTATTTAATTAAACATGTAATTGTTTACTAATTAGTCTAACTTGATCTAATTTCAC